AGTTATATTGCGTTAAAAAGTTTTAGATTGAAGTCCACATTATTAACACCCTGCACAATGTATTAATATTTTGGTTCAATAGAATTCTTAATAGATCTGTGGTGATTGGAAGGACATATTTTTTGTATCTTCAAGTGATTTTTTTTTGCTTCCACAATTAATTTTTAGATACCATGTTTTTAAGCAAAATTTTACTAAAATGGCGATAATCTGCCAACGTCGCAAGTACGAAAAAAAACATTTACGGTGCATATGCAGCGTTTTAAGCTGCATTCCATGAGCTAATGAAAAATGGGTAGTTCTGCTTGAAAAAATATACTTTGATATTGCCTCGCTTTTCTGAAACACTCTGTATCATATAAAACATTTTTAAAATGTGCGCACTTTGTGGGTCAACAACTCTTATATAAAACTATTTTTCGAAAGTTTAACACCAACTGAAATAATGGACTCTCTCGCACTAAAAAAACACCCTGTATGTCTTTTCGCCTAGCTTATTCTAAAATTAATTCCTATTCCTAACAGTCGTATAAAATAATCACTGATAAAAAAAAATCTTGTTAAACTTCTTGCAAAACAAACAGGTCTTAGTCGTTAGTTCAGTTGCGTTTGTAGGTGTTCTAGTAAAGTATCTGTTGGGGTACGAAAACGGGAGTGTTTTGTTAGGCTAAGAGGATTCAGTATGGTCCAGTTGTGGGGGTTGTTTGTCCATTTTGTCTGTAAGTGTATTGGTCTTTCCGAAATTTCTGTCATGTTTGTGCGTTCGTATAGTAGTTGGTTGCACTGTTAAAAATGAGTTGAAAATGGTGGTTAAATATCTGGCTGCTTCTTTTTTCTACTTTTTGCTCCTTTTTGACCAACATTTATTAGTTTATTCCAATAGAAGCATTTCCATTCTGTATTAATTTATTGTGATTGTCTTCAGTCTTCCGGCTATTTGATTTTCTTCATTCTATTGGGGGATTTTGTAATTTTATCTTCGATCGGGTGGGTGGGCTTCCATTTTTCATTTTAAAATTGATGGGAAATCCCGTCCATCATTTCATTCATTTTAATCCTTAGAAAGATCTTGTTTGGAGAAGAAAACATGTAATTTTGCAAGCTGTTCAAGTAGTTTCTTTCACAAGTTTGAATTTTTAAAACGTTTTTTTTTGGAAAATATCCCATTTTTGGCCTTGGTATTTTTTTGAAAAACTAAGCAACTTAATAAACTACTCAACAAAATGAACGATAATAGCCAAATTTGCCCCAACGTTGCAATTGGATGCATTCTGATTCCTTCAAGCCATTTTGTTTCTGTTGGAAGCGTTATTGAACCCCATTTGCTGTTTGTTGATCAATGTTTTGGCAAAACATTGCCATCGCAGATAAACTTTCCACAGGGTGGCAAATGAAAAAATTCAAACTTCGGCACCCTCCGAGTTGGACAAGTTAATGTTTTTTTTGGATCTTAACACCAAAAGTTTAAAGGTAAACCAAATAGCTCCAAACTGTTTCTGGATTTTTCACCAACAGGGTGATCTCAAAAAATCAATATTTCCGTCTCGTAACGATAAATTTTCTGCGCTTGGTCCAATGGACGACAAAAATTCGATTTACAAATCAGAATTGCCTTAGAAATTTGGGATTTTAAAAAATGTTCAATTAAGTGAAGTTTCCTTACATATACCTACAATCGTTTCAGTTGTAGCTTTCGGAACCAGAATCTGGCCGAGCTAATAGACGAAGCGAAAGGCGCAAAGAAAGTAAACATAAACCCGCACTCTGAGCAGTTAAACCTCTATAATGTGATTAAACGAGTTCCAAACTCCGAACATCTCCTTTTTGTCTTCGTTACGTGCACAAGGTTGTCGTGTTTTCCATCTTCGTTTTACTATGGCGAATCGGAGTAGCCGACCGGAAAATTAAAGATCAATACAAACCTTCCTATTAACTGGTTAGATTTGGGTGATGAAGGCCAAATTTTAGAACGGACAATTTTTGATGATCCAATAAGTTTTCGTATCAAAAATTTTGGGTCAAAAGCTTTGAAAATCCACAGCTCCTGATTTGCAATTTTTCTTCTTATTGCAAGCTTTCAAAGCTACTGCAAAGACTAATTGACATTCGAATTGCCAGAGATTCGCAATTTTAGAACATATTATATTCTGTTCCAATCGGACCCTGATAGAATTAGGACCCAGATGATGTAAAATTAATTTCGTTTTCATTGCTCTTTGAAGAAATGTGAAAGTACAAATCTGAACTCCATATCACGTGCACGAATAAAGTTAAAAGAAACCGTTGGTTTTCCAGATCTCTTTCTATAAGAAATCGTTTTCTGATAAAATTCGCAAAATGTCCAGAGCCCTGAGAAAAGTAAATCATCTTGCCACGTCATTTCCTGACCCCGAAACGACTCTCCGCTTTATTTGCTTTTATGGGTTCCAGTGAAAACTCGGCGAAAATTGTTTGTCTTTCCGTGCCAACGTGACGTGTTGTTATAGTGTGTTAAATGCCGAAGGCTGAAGGAATCGCAACAAGAACGCTGCTATACGTTGGGAAATCATGATGAATTAAGGGCAAAAATATGTCAAGAGTTGAATCTGGAAGCTTTTCCTCAGTGAAATATTCCAGATACTAACACTGATCTGATACCGATGTATTTACGAGATTCTATGAATTTTGCAAATGTTCTCATTATTGCAGATTCATTAGTATTTTATTTGCATTATCAAGTTCTATTTTTCTTATCGGACATGTGACAACATTTTCAATCGCTTTTTCCTCCACTTGATTTTGCTCAGGTTCTGCAGCTTTCACCTTCAGCATTTAACAGTGCCTCTAAAGCTCAATGTTTTCAAGTATGTTTTCCACCTATGGAAAGAGTAAATCCTGGTTGGTATTTAAATCGAAAATAAAGCACTAGAGAACTTCCTAACGCATTGAACCCGGTTTCAGCGCAATGCTTTCGTTTTTAAAATATTTTCTTATCATCACTAGCACTTGGGAGGAATGAAATTTTTTTTTTTAAATCCGATTCTTTCTGGGTCTCTCGTTAATCAGCAACTCGACAAATTAACGATCTCATTCAATCAACAGGCAACTCTTTTTCAACCATAACCAGGCGCATTTAAAAATGAAATGTTCAATTTTTCACACACATATTTTTATCGAACATATTTGAATTTCCTATTCGTTTGTGACGTAATCATTTCCATCAGTGCCATCTATAGAAACCTAATTTATATGTAACTGAACATGAGTTTTTAATTGACTCGGTGCTATAGGAAACTTGGGAATATTGCATCTCGGTTTATTGCGTTTTTACTGGTTGGTTTCTCACTCACTGATGATAAACGATTGTATGCTTTATATCCATGGACCGAATAGCCGATAATTTGTTAATCGCTGCAAAAAATTTATTTATTTACCTAAATTTCATCTTCTGCATAGAACCTCGAACAATAAAAATATTATGGAGATTTTTTCTGGCATAATTTACAATCTTCACTTATCTAGCTCTTTAGAAAAGGTCCATATTTTCTTTTTAATCCAGTGTATTAGAAAAACATCTGATTTATTATGTGATTCAAACAACAATCCACACATTCTGCTATATGAAAAATGTATGATATTGTGTGATGATTCAATGCAATAAACAACATTAAATATGTTTGCTTCCAGTTTAAAGTGTGTTACCAAAGTTGCATTTCGATTTTCAGAAGAACACATTGTTTAATTTGTGCAATGTACAGTGTGTTTCTAAACGTCAAATTCCGTTAATGTTGTACCGTGGATGGCGGAGTATCAAACTCTTTGTTCAGCTTCCAACTTTTATTAACTCGGTATAACTTTAAATACGGAACAGGAACAAACTAACTTCAAAATTACCGTCAACTTCACAAACAATAACAATAACAAACGGAAAACTCGGTCTTCCGACTCGCGGGGCGTAACCTCTTCCGCACTCAGTCGCTGCTGTCAATTCACTCTCCCCTTTGTGGTTCTCCTCGCCGCTTATATAGATTCCTTCAGGTAACCCGGATGGTTCTCGAAATTTTCAGAACAGGTGCAAAAGTTCCCGCTTGTCAGTGTCATATTTCACAGTAAATGGGGCGCAAATGGGGCTCCCATTTACTGAAATGCCATGAATTTTGATCCCTCCATTTCATACGTGAGTACCCCAGGCCATTTCCGTTACAATATATTCAATCAACTGTACATAATTTTTAAACAAACTTTCTTAACTAAAGTTAATTAATAACAATTGTTTGCCGTTAAATCTATGAATTCGTTTTATGGTTGAATACCTACAGTTTGTTCTGGTTTGAAACTATTTTTTGAACAGCAGTTTGTGACGGTATTCACTAATTTGATTGCAGCTCACGATACTTGAATCAGTGCTGTGCATCAGTGCAGAATACTTTTACAGTCGGAACTGATAAAATATAAAAAGTTAAACACATTTACGATCTAGTCTTTTCAGCATGCCTGCCAAAAAATTGTGCTAAAATGCACGAATTAAATTAAATTAAAACACAGTAATCAAAGGAACGCATTCAAATAATAACGTTATATTAGAGCCACTATTAGCAGAGATTAGTAGAGAGATCGCCGATGAGCATAGGCGAAGCGGTCCAGCGATATGCAGCCGCAAGCTAGCGTCATTATGCGGTTTTCTCCCGAAACAAACACAAGTTAGAAGTAGTGTAGGGCAGGTAAGTAGTGGGGCCGTGCGCCTAACACAGAACACCTCTGAACAAGAAGTGACAACTCCATGTAAACGGCCGTGATCGCTTATGCGCGCTCTCTGCCAGGTGTTTCGGTCCCTAAATTAAAAAGAAGCGGGAATTTCGATTTATGAATTCCAATATAATTGTAAAGCCTGTGTCCCATGCATCCGCTTATACGATGGTACGATAATACGAGTCTTTCTATTGGTTGGCGGAAGAATTCGCAGATCTCCAACCAATAGAAACACTTTCGTATCATCGTATCATCATATAAACGGATGCATGAGACACAGGCTTTACTTCTGTGAATTTATTATTCCTAGCAAGGTATATTTTGCCCAACTACATTAAAAGTCACTGCACCTGTAACAGCTACCTTTAAAATGATTCTAAGTTTTATTGTTTAAAAGATTACTTACATTCTTTACCCCAAATTTACGTCTTTCCTGCAACTCTTCAAATTATGCTCAACGTTTCAATGTCCTCCTCATGCTGCAAAGCTGGTGAAATAGAAGTTTTTTCCTTGGGGTCATTTTGTTCCTGATGGTTATTCCAATCGAATGAAGCAATTCGCTTCTCACATGCAGCTGTAAACCTATTACATACTTTTACTTAATACTTTAGAACAGCGTTTTCTTAAACTTAAGAAAAAGCTTGAACTTACTCTTACTGTAGTTATTACATTTAAATGATTATTAAAACTTACCGATTTCACTATCTACATTATGCGTAGGCATCGAAAAAGTTGATTCTTGTTTCCGTTCGACAGAAGTAAAATCATCATGAGAAGTTTCTATACCTGATAAGTTTTTTGTTATTATAAACATTTTTTCTGTCAAAACAAGTATCCCTACCTGTGTGCGGGTGTGTCTCCGAATCACTAGCCGGTTGCATGCAAATGTTAGAAGGAGCTATAAAACTTTTGGGAATAGCTTTTGTCAGCAGCGTCTTCCTTTCGGGAGTTTGAAATTGAGATACTATAACATGGTTATTGCATACCGAATAACACCTTCTAACAGTAGTATGAGCTAATTCAGACAATGCTGGATTACTCACAACGTCCATCCAGTGTTGAAACATAATCGCACCATGCGGAAACATGTGGAACCTCACATCCGGATTCCCGTTACGATTTTCGCACGACAAAAATGCACACTTTTTATAATAAAGTCAAGGCATGATCTGAAGCAATAGATAAATAAGTCAGTGGTATCTTTTCCTCTAGTTATCTATATTTTTTAGCACAACTTATAGTATGAACAACAGACTATGAAACAATCACAAGATCACTAGCAAAATCGAGTCCAACACGTGTTCTGCAAGCAGTAAAATGCAATGC